TTAAGTGAATGTAACCAATCCTAACGGAATTCGAACTCGGAGAGCCGAGTTCAAATTTCCTTGTTGGGTTCGTTAATCTATAAAAAATAGATACAGGTCATTTTTGCATTTGTATTGTTCGCTGGGAGAATTCTACACAGGAAATTATATTTCTTGTTCCAGTGTCTGACTAAAATCAAACTTACTCCTTGTTTACACTACTTTAAACGGGAAATACGATTGACAGGGAAAATTAATTCGGCGAACTCAGTTCAAATTTCGGCTGGGATAGTCGTAATTAATTTAATACTTTGTTCACTTCTGCACCTATGGAAAACTGGGGTTTCTAGCCTTGATCTTTGTCTTTTCACTATCTCTCCTAATCTTTGTTCTGCCAACCATTTACACAAATTCGTTAGATATGTTATTCACTGCTTTCCTCTCGTTCTCTCTTCAATATGTCCAGTGAATGCCAAATTCTCCAAGCCCTTTTTCCATATTATGTGCCATAGAAATGGATCTTTCTGGTTCTAACTATAAGTGTCCTATTTCTTTCAATTTTTTTCTAAAACTTCCTCATTACTCACATGTTCAGTTCATGGAGTTCTCGGCATCCTTCTGTAGGACTACATTTCTATTGCCTCAAGTCTCTCCTTTATCTGTGAGGAGATTGTCCAGCATTCACTGTCATATAAGAAGACCGGTATTACATGACAGATTATTACTCTTATTTTTAGTTCCTAACGAAATTTTTCTGTTTCTTTGCGTAGCTTATGGAAGGCATTTTTCGCTATTCTAATGAGCTTTCGGATTTCGGTGCCATATTTTCCGTGCTCAGTTAAAATTGCCAACTACGGGTAAATAGAAGAATAGAATTTTAATATGCAACATGTTTTTCATGTTTTTGTACATGATGAATAATTACTTTTAGCTCTTTCCAATGCTTTCGGATTTCAGCAAAGCGAAGTACCCGTGTATAAGTCGAACAACAATAATACAATGGTATATTGAAAAATTTTCAACAGCGACAACGAAGATCCCCCACATACACACACACACACACACACGCGCGCGCATCCACAAAATATATTTGTTCATTTCGTTAGATTTTGGGAAGTGGCCGTGAACTATTCAGCACCCTTTCGTTTATTTGGCTGAAAAAAAAAACTGTCTTAAAAACTCGCCTTTTACAAAATTATATACAGTTTTTTTTCTATATTGTAGAAGTTTCAAACCGTATTTAACTAGGGAGATTTTTCAGTTCGCCGACGTCGTTACCGAATTTGACAAAATGCCGTGGATTAAAGTAGATTTAACGGCAAAACTAAGGAAAAATTGGTCATGTCATATCGGCACTTCCCCTTTTAGGGACTGCCCCAGGCAGCGGGTAATGACGGAGAAAGTACTGCCTGGGAGGATGGCCTCATGGAACTTGAGCTAATCAGTGAAATACTAATTAGCTACACAAGTATGTCTTTTAGATTTATTTACATATAAATATAAATATATAGAAACGACGGTGGCCACAAAATGAGGGATCAGTTTATATACTGATTGTAATATAAAACTGATCTCCCACTTTAATTTCTTGTTTTTGTCACTTCAGCGCACATCGCTACCAAATGTGAAAAATGGTCGAGATTTAAAGTGGATTTAATGATAAGACATTGGGAAAACTGCTTAAGTCCCATGGGCACAACACCTTTTGGGGACGCCTCTGGTGGCGAGTGATAATCCCAGCTCCCTCCCGAATGAGAGGGACTGCCTGGGGGGCTCGCCTCCTGACGCTTGTGCTTATTATTTTGAAACTTTTCTTGATAGAAGCGAACTTCAATACAAAGTAAGTGTTATTATTTTTCTCATGAAAGAAGATTATTCTAACGCTTTATTTATGAAGCGCAGATACATTGTTTTCATTGACAAGATGCCAAGTCTTTTGTATAAATTAAAATTATATGACTGTTGTTGCTACCAAATTATCCTCTCTTTCTAATTTGTAAACATTTTTAGTGTGTTTTCGCTGTTTAAACGAATTTTGATTGAAATTGGTGGTTATAGGTGTGAAATGCCCGGGAAAAAATTACAGTTTCAAAAAAAAAAAAAAAAAAAGAAGCTAATATTACGAAATTTTAAATGTATATTTCTGTATTGAAATTACGTCGCAAATTTTAATGTTTTTGTTTTTTAATTTACTGAATTTTCATTGCTATAGTCTGCGTACTTATTCACAATACTAAACATAGTGCAAAATCAAATGCGGTTAAAAAGAGTGTGCAGCGCCAGACCCAATTGGGGAGGTTTCTTCAAATCAAACCATCATCAGAACTGTTTCGACTTAAAAGCACATTGTAAATCATTTCGATATCCCATCGTCAACAACTTTAAACTTTTTAAATTACTTACTTACCAAGTCTCTCTCTAGGCTTAAAACACCGGTTCCCGTACAACCATCGGAGTTAAGCAATGTAGAGCCTGGTCAGTACATAGATGAGTGACCGCTTGGGAATAACTTGTGCTGTAACCTTGGGTGCGCGGGTGGTGTAACGTATAATGGCTCGGAATTGTTAATAGGAGAGCCGTGTTCATTATATTCCCTCATGCGCAAATGATCTTGGGAAAGGTATGAATCTTCCTCTTCTCCCCACAGCTATGGGTTAATTATTAAGACTTGTATCAGTAAAACGTTATTATTCCCACCAAAAAAAAAAAATCTTATATTCTAAAGAAAATATTTTCTGGCTTTAAATAACCTACAAAGGGTTGATAAACCGTAAAACGAATCAATAAAATACTGATTAGCTACACAGACATGTCTTTTAGATTTATATACATATAAATATAAATATATAGAAACGACCGTGGCCACAAAGTGAGAGATCAGTTTATATACTTATTGTAATATAGAATTTTATATTCAAATCACAATTTTTTTGTTGTCTGTTTATCCTGGGTATGACGATAAACTATAACCGGCAGCAAGGCTTCTGATCGGGAGATTGGACGTTTTGCGGAGCGTGGTACAACTTCTTAATTGCTGCTATTCACAGGTCCGCCCTGATCCGGGGTGGTAGCTCCTGATAGGGTCCCAGCTATGGGTAAATAGTGAACCCCCAAGCAAAAACAAAACCCTATGACAGTATAAAAATAGATGTTTATAGTAAAAATTCCAGCAATACATTTTATAGCAAAATGACCAACAATACATTTTATCTGTAGTTGAAGGCACATAAATGTGCTCAAAATATATTTAATTGAAGCCATAAAATTTTGTACAAAATATTTGGATTTCGATATTAAATTGCCCATAGCGGATGATATGCCTCTAAACAAAATCAACCGACCATTGTTTCTTTATCAAATTCTGATTAAGGAATCTGCCTCTTGTCCTTGCAAGTATATGTTCATTAGTAAGACTTGCATCACTAAATCATTATTATCTAAAAAAAATTCTGGCTTTAAATAACCTGCAAAGGGTTGATAAGCCGTAGAAAACGAATCAATCAATCAATCAACCAAGACTCTCTGTCCTCTGTTAATTCACAGAAGGGTGGTAGGTTTTCCAAGCTCTTCAAACCTTTTGTTTTTTAATGCTCTTATTCAGTGTATATACGATGGTTGATCAATGTCATTTTCAAAAGCGTGTTGTACTGAACTTCTCGAAGAAAAGCAATCAAGTTTTCTTAGAAGGAGTTTGAACATCTAGTCAAACATACATCTCCAAATTGTTAATGTAATCGAAGGATGAAAAATGACATCTGGTATGTGTTGCATCTTTTGTAAATGTTGGAATTGTAGATGTGTTTGTATTATTTAACGAGTGATATTTTAGCTGTTTTTAATGGAATGAATCAGGTTTTTCTTCACTGTTCTTTGTCGGTCTGCTCGAAGCATAATATTATGTCAAAAAAAACAAAAAAACAGTTTCACTATCGTGTTGAACAGTTTCAATAGTCGTTTTTCATTATTACTATATCGTCTAATCCATTTTGAGTTGCAATTTCTATTTTATCTCGTATCTTCTTTTCACACTGTCCATATATTTTTCCTTCAGGTTAGGGTCGTTTGGGAGTCCGTAGTCTTGCAATTTGGGTACTGCGTTACGCTTCTTCAGTTTCCGTAGTTTCATTCTATGTTTGCATACAACAAGGAGGTTGTCGCTTCTGCAGTCGGCACTTGGATAAGTTTTGCAGCGAATAACTGCATTCCTGAATCTCTTGCCGACAGTTATGTAGTTAATTTGGTTTTAGTTTCTCTTCCTGGTCTTCTCCATGTCCATAATCACCTTGGGTGTTCTTAGAACCAGGTGTTGGCTATTACCTGGTCAATGATTATGCACCATTGAACCCATTTTTCTTCGCGTTCGTTGCGGATTCCTAGTCCAAATTTGTCAGCTATTTCCCCTTTCCCTACTTTGGCATTCAGATCTCCCATCATAATTATAATTTCTTGTGATTTGCACTGAACCTTGGCGTTGTCTGACATAGAGTAGAAAGATTCGATTTCTTCTTCCGTACTTTGTGCTGCCGGTGCATACACTATTATAATAGATAACGTTGAAAGGCTTTCCTTTCAGTTTAACTACAGGAATTCTTTTAGTATCCCAGAACGCATTTCTTGATGTCTTGATCTAGTATCAATCCAATTTGTTTTTTTTATTTTCTCTCTGCCTGCATATATAATCCTGTGGTTGTCACTAACAAAAAAAAATCTCCGTTCTTTTAGCCACCTAGTTTCACATGCACCTAAGATGTTGATTTTTGGCTTACTCATCTCCTATTTTACATTTTCTAAATGGCCAAAGTTGTTTAACGTTCTATGCCCCAAGAGTTATTTTTTGTTTGATGCAAAGGGTCGCTCTATGACGGTTCGGTGATACTTGCCGCTCATGTCGTTCCTTTCTAGACGAGGGATCAGTTCTGAGGTCAAAATTAAAATCAAATCAAAATTCGAAATGTTTTTATTTTATTTTTTTTATTACTTAGACTCGATGTTAACTGATCAATTGTTTTTCTATCGATTTTATATCTTTCAAAACAGGCCGCAGGAAAAACTAAAATAGACACATGTGTTTTATTGTGGAATCAATTAAATGTTAGCATCTGAATTGCTTTTTAATCTGAAGTGACTCTATTTTACAGAAATGGTGCTGTGTGTTGAAAATACAATTGACACATGCAATCTATATGTACTGTGACTTCTCTTAGTCCGTCTGTCCGTCACACCCTCTAAAACAACCATACAAAGACCGATCGAAACCAAATTTTCGGGAGAAGTTCAAACAGGTAAAGGGGTACAAAGTACAGTTTGTTTTAATAGGGTGCGTTGCTTAGGCTATCTATCTATATATAAAATTCTGTGACTTCTGTTCGTCCGTCACACCCTCTAAAATAGCCAAACATTGACCGATCGAAACCAAATTTTCGGGAGAAGTTCAAACAGGTAAGGTGGTACAAAGTACAGTTTGTTTTACTAGGATGCGTATATTAATACAATAAATTTTTATTATTTTGGGGGGAAATTAAAAGTTTTATTATTTAACATACAAAATACTCCCACTATTTATTAAAAACAACTTAATGATTAAAATAACAAATTTTATTTAATAAAAATGCAATACTGTATTTTGCATATCTTTCCTTTAATTATATATATATATATATATATATATATATATATATATATATATATATATATATATATACAAGAATCCAGCTTCCAGTTCACCCTGTGCTTGAGGATTATAAACAAATCACAAGGCTAAACGCTTCAAAAAAAAGTTTATTTGGCTCCAGAAAAAATTATTTAAGCATGGCCAGTTGTATGTTGCATGCTCACGAGTAAGAAATCCTAAGAATTTATTCTTCGCTGCTAAAAAGGAAAAAAATCTTAAAAAATATTATTTACACTGAGGTCCTATCAAACTAAATTAAATGTAAGAAATTATTAAACCACGAAGTAAGGTTTTTGTCAGAATATATTTCCTAGCATATCAGCTTTTTCAAATTTCATCGATTTGTTTGCGAAATTGAAAGAAACGTAAGTTTTGTAAATCTAGACAAAAATGTTAGTGATAACTACAACAATACTAAATAATGTGATGATTCCAACACACGTCAACGTGTTTGAAAAACAATTCTTTTGTTTTATAAAATGTACATTTTCTGTCGAAGAGAGAGAGAGAGCGAGAGAGAGGGGGGAGAGAGAGAGGGGCGGAGAAACACTGAGAGAGAGATTGATTTCTGAAATGCACAATTGTGGAAGCCCATTTGTGTAAATATTTTACCTTTTGTTCTGGAACATCTGAATTTTTCTTAAATCCTTTTTATGCGGGAACATTACAGAGATGTGATCTGATTCTTGAATATAAGCAAGGCGAGATGCCACTAGCACGCAAGGGGTTACAGAGAGTTGGAGCGAGAGCAAATAAGAGTGATAGAGGAAAGGATGAAGAGAAGGATAGGGGACAGATCAAGGCATCTGGAGACGTTGATTGACATTACATTTGAATAGTTGGAGATTATAGCTATCAGGGAAACAGGAAAAGGGGAGGGTGTTCCACAGGCGAGAAATGCTATTAAAGTAGAAAAGACGGCTACATTTTACAGTTTCGACATTGAAAGGGTGAGAGCGAGATCTCAACCTAGTTGAACGCTTAAATTCATGAAGTCTGGGAACCAGTGAAAGCAGCTCATCGGAGCAGTAACCGTGAAAGTATTTGTAAAAAAGACAGAGGGAGGCGACGGTACGTCTGTAAGAGAGCAACTGCAGAAGAGATGCCAGATCAGGGCCAATTACATTGCATATCAGTCTCTCGATATAGAGTTAAAAAGGGAGTTTTTCTACATTTATAATTCATGAGTGATTCTGTTCACTTCAGGTTTTACAAACTTGTTTAAAACGTTCCATAGTATTATTAATAATTTTACTAATGAGTGAGTGATGTGGACCCCTTAAGATCACAACGTATACTGTCTATTTTGCCGCCTTTTTATCTTTTAATAGATACTGAAGAGAGAGTTTTCTGATATAAAGAATTGTAGGTTTCGTTTAGTCTGATTGGCTGGAATGTTTAAAATTTTGTTTGAATTTATTTTTTCGGCGGAAACACTTTTAAGTTCTAGGTTCTACTGCGATAATTCTGAGCAAGATTTTAATAGATTAATCTCATTTTGTTTTTAGAATAAGATGTCAGTTTCAGGTTGTGAGAATAAAATAGTCTTGAGGTTCGTCTCTTTTTCTTTAGCGCAATATTTTTTCAAGGTTAGTTTCAACATGTTAATATAAGATTGTTTTAAGGTTAATATTTGAACAAAATTGTCTAATGTTAGTTTCAGATGGTTAGAATAATAGTCAAGCCTGTTCAAAATATGGCCCACGATCCGAATACAGCCTACGACAGTGTGGACCTTGGGCCGAATGCGGCCGACGATACTACCCAGTGTGGACCTTGGGCCGAATACGGCCGACGATACTACCCAGTGTGGACCTTGGGCCGAATGCGGCCGACGATACTACCCAGTG